TTTGTAGTTTACAACTTCAGCTTTTAAAAGTGTTTGTAGTTTACAGTTCTATTAAATATTTATACCATTGTAATGAATATTTGTAGTTTACAACTTCAGCTTTTAAAAGTGTTTTTAGTTTACAGTTCTGTCTTTTAGGTGTTTCAAGCATTTTTCACAATGACTTTTCTATTTTTAATCTTTTATCCTTTAGTTTGAACCTGTTCCTGGTTCCCTCTGAGGGTCCCCGAACCACAGGTTGAGAATCTCAGATCCAGAAACAGGAAAAAATAAAACAGTTTTCAGTCTAAATACGATCCAGTGAAGGACAGAGCGGAGCTGCAGACTAAATACGACACATTTATGGTGTTTTTCTGACTTCATCGCTGCATTAAGGACAAAATAAAAAACACTGTAAATGAGCAGAAACGCACATGAGGAGCATTCAGATAAATAAAAAATACAAATAACATGAAGGAAAAAGAATAAACACCTCATTTTCATGTGTGATGATATTTTAGCACCTCGGTGATTTTTACAGCATCATTTCTCTGTTTTCTTATTTCAGTTCACTTATTTTATCTCTCCTGTTATGTCATTTGGTGTTTTATGAGCGACATCAGAATTATTTTGGGTTAATAAAAGTTTTATCTTATCAACACTCTAAACAGTTTTAAAATTACATAATCTTGTTATGAAATCACAGATTGTTGAGACGTTACAAAAACATACGTTATTTTTCTGTATTTTATACATAAACTCTATTATTTATTTATTTATTTTAAACAGAAGAAAGTTGATGTTTATGGTAAAATTTTGCCTTCTTTTTTTGTGCATTAATTTCTGTTTGAGCCAGCTGCTCACCTGCAGCTACAAACACCTGATTACGTCATCAGCTCAGGTAAACAGACAAACAGGTAAAAAGGTTAACATGTAAACAGGTCAACAGATAAACAGGTAAACAGATAAACAGGTGAACGGGGTCTCCACCTGATGATGCTGATGCTGAACTCCTCCTCCGTCACGCTCTTCCAGGCTCCGTGCAGGAACTCCCGGCACCACCGGAACGCCCTCCGCCGGGTGTCCGGGTCGGGCTGCTCGAGCCGCAGCGGCTCCTTGGTGTCCTGCTGGGCGTCGGGCTGCACCTGCAGCGCGTTCTGGGTCACCAGCAGGCCGAGCGACAGGGAGGGCGACGAGGACACGCCGTTGATGAACTTCGTCTTCATGGTTCCGGCGGACGGGAGGCAGGGGGGACAGAACCGGAGAGAGAACGACGCAGCGACAAAAAAAAACACCTCAGCGGGACGTTAATCTGACAGGACCGACCGTTAGCAGCCGTTAGTAACCGTTAGTAACCGTTAGCGGAGCAGCAGCAGCAGCAACGGGGACCTTTAAGGACCGTTATTACCGGAGCAGCAGCAGTAGGGACCGTTAGTAACCGTTAACGGAGATGCGGCAGCAGCAGCAGCAGACGGGACCGTTATGGACCGTTATGGACCGTTATCACCGGAGCAGCAGCAGCGTGGACCGTTAGGCGCCGTTATGAGCCGTCGTTACCGGAGCAGCGGGAATGAATCAAACCGGAGAGACGCTCAGACTTTCAAGGAAAGGGGCGGGGCCATGGTGGGAGGAGTCGCACGACACGCCCGCCCCCGTCCTTCTCTCTGATTGGCCGCCGGGGGACACAGCCCCGCAGGACCACAACAAACCCCGCGGTGCATTCAGGGACCGTCGGACCAACACTGGAGCCCTGATGTCATCGGTTCATTCCAATGGAAAAACACTGAGAGATGCTCAGTGAAAAAAGACCTTTAAAGAGGTTCAAGTGCTAAAGAGAGACAAAATCCATCACAAAGACCCACAGTGGACCGAAAGTCACTCAACACAACCTCACAAATGCATGAAATGACCACAGAAATGCACAAAATGACCTTTAAAAGACACAGAATGGAACAAAAACACACTTAAAAGGCCACAAGAGGCACAACTCATACAGGAGGAGACATAAACATGCTCAAAATGACCATTAAATACCACAAAATGACCACAAAGACACACAGAGCTACCAGGAGTGGACCTCAAGTAACCACAGAGACTCAAAACAACCACACAAACGCACAAAAACGACCACAAACAGACACAAAACTACCAGAAGGAGACAAAATAACCACCACAAGGGTGAACAAAACCACAAAAATGCACAAGATGACCATCAAAAGACACAGAATGATCACAAAAACACACTTAAAAGGCCACAAGAGGCACAAAATATACAGGAGGAGACAAAAAGCTGCTCAAATCAACCACACAAATGCACAAAGACACAAGGACACACAACTACCAGAAAGCAACAAAATAACTAAAGAAAGATGAAAAAAAACAAAACAAAACAAAAACAAAAACACAAAAATAGACTTGAAATAAGCAGAAAAAGCCTCAAAACTATCAGGAAAAATGCACAAAACTGCAACTAAGAGACATTAAACAGCTTTAAATGGACTCAAATGACCACAAGGAGACAAAAACTACCAGAAAGTGGCAAAAAAAATCCACAGACTCAGAACTAGAATAAAAAAAAACACAAAAATACCACAGAAAGCTCACATATCAGCCACATGGAGCCTCATCGCTACCACACGTAGAGAATCAAAATGACCACAGAGGGACCAACAGGAGTTTCTAACCTGCAGCAGCATCATCTTTAACATTTTTTATATGTTTTTTTATGGGCCACATCTTTTCTGGCACATTCCCTTCAAGCGTGTTTGCCTGCAGTCCCTGAACGCACCTCGAACATCTGCGTCATGTCTGTGTGCTGTTTAGTCACGTAGCCAAAAACAAAAAGGTTTGTTCTGCTAAAAATGTGCCTCAGTGGGTAAATCTGGGTGTTAAACCTTCAGTCCTGCAGCTGCACGAACAGAAACCTGAAACCAAACCGCATTAAGAAATAAAACACGACATGAAACATTCAGAGAATCTGTTGGTGGACGAACTGCATCCTGCAGCTTGTGGCTTTAAAATAAAGGACGAGTTCTGATGTTATTCTGCAAAACCTCGACTCGTGAGCTGCCAGCAGACATTAAAGAATCTGTCATTAATAATTCAAGTCATGTTTCCACTGAGCTTCAGGATTTAATGCAGTCAAACCCTGTTTTTTAATTAACTGGTGTTGCTGTTTTTTTTTTAACAAATATGATTTATTCTGCAGAATATGTACATTTTAATAGTTAAACTTACAACCTCCAGAATCTCTTTTGGGTCATGAATATTTTTTAAATAATTAATTCGATTGTTATTAATATTTTTTATTATTTCAATGATTTATTTTAAAGTTTCATTTCTTGTCTTCTGGCTTCTTATTCTGAATGTTGCTCTAAACATGTGTTTCGTCCTCAGTAGATCCTGAATAAAGTCCCAGAGATGGAAAAACTGAAGGTGTTTGTTTCATTGTCGCTGCATGATTCAGGTAAAACCACAAGACATCTGGTAAACGAAGAGGTTTTATTGCAATAAAATCAGGCTGCAGTGTGAGAAGAGGAGCTAAAACTGCATCGTCACAGTTTAATACGTGTGTAGCGACACCTGCTGGAGAGAAACGATCCTGAACTCGCAAAAAAGAACCAATAGATTTAAACAGACAATGTCTTTGAAAGAAATCACTGTCTGGACACTAGTTGGGTGGATTTTATCAAAATTAATTGCAAAAAAATACAAAAATTACAAAGTTAAACTGTCTTCACGACTAATGTCCCCAAAATGAGCTAAAATAGTTTTGAAATTCTGAATCTCTTAATTAAGAATTCACATTATTTAAGTGGATTCAGGAAAACATCTTTTAGTGCTATGAAATGTTGTTGGTTTTTTTGTTGTTGTTGTTTTTTAAAAAATATTCTTTTGTATTACTACGTCTGTTTATCAGTCCAGGTCTAGTTTATGTCACTGTTGTTCTAAACATGACTTTAGTCCAAAGTATTGACTGAACAAAGAGGAAAAATATATATACTGGCTAAATTAAATATAGTTATTTGACTTAATCTGTGTCTGGGTTTAGATAAAATTTGACTTTATCATGTAAATATATAAAAAAAAAGGAGGTTTAATTGCATAAATAAACAGCATTCTTTAAATTAATTTATTTTAACAGCAGTTTAAGGAGCAGGTCAGGTGACATAAATCTGATTTTTGTCAACAGGCAATGCCAAAAAAATTAAATAAAAGTCTTTAAAACAATGAAAACACTCGCTGCTCAGACCGGTGTCAACTAGATGTACATATTAATATTTTACATAGAAATACATCCAGATGATTCAATTGCTCCACTAGGAGGCGCTTCTTCTTCTCACCGAAATGCGCTTTAAATCTGAAAATACTCCGTTAAAATACCGTTTATCAGCTTCATCTCTTTCTTTGTAGGTGTTCAATAATTCACAAGTTGTCATTCGTTCATAAAAACCGTTGCAGCGTTTGTTTTTCTTCCCTTTTTAGTTCCTTTTCCGCGAAGCTCCGCTCGGCGGTGCAACGCCGGAGTTTAAAACGTGCAGCCCGGACGCATGTTGATGACGCCATCGGCAGCGAGCCACAACAAAAACAACAACAGCTGTTAGCATCCAGCTAGCCGGCCCGTTTCCTCGGTTCTCTTCTGTTTCTTTTACCTTTTGAAGTCTGTTTTTTGTTTTTCCAGACCCTGAAAGTTTCGGGCATGAAGCTGCTTTTGTGAAATCCTGAACTTTGCGCTGCGTTAGTTTAAACTCCTCTGCTAGCTGCTAGCTGTTAGCCGGTTTAGCTGCAGACTGACGGCAGGAAGAAGCCCGACATCAAAGGTAAAGGCTCCACTTTTGTGTAAATAATGACGCAAAAAACCACAAAACCCGCAGTGTCGCGTCAATGTGCACACGTTTAAAGTCTGCGCATGTTTGTTTCTGGAACTTTGACCAATGAACTGAAGGAAACTGAGGCAGAATAACGGAGCTTCATTAACAAACTGTAACTCAACTCCTGCATGTGAACGTCACGCTGCGGTGGTTTGACTAAAGTCACACCAACACTGGAGGGAATTGTCTTGCTGTTCATTTAAAACTACTGGAGCACGTTTACATCCAGGAATTTAAAGGGAAAAAAGCACAAAGTGGCAACAAAGGGACATAAAGTGATCAAAAATACACCAAAAGTAGCTTCAAGGAGAATCAAAACTACCAGACAGAGACACAAAACACCCACAAAGACACACAAACATAATCACATCCGTCACAAACAGACTCAAAATGAACCCAGAAACACAGACACAAAACCACCTCAATAGGATTCAAAATATCACGAAACAATCAGAACAATGAACTCACAGACGTCTGTAGATGTGAGCTGTTATTCTGACAGAAACATGATCGAGTGTGTTTTAATACAGTCGTAATTCACTGCCATTAAATTACAACTTCTAATGTTACGCAAACACTCGATGATATGGGACACAAAGAGACAAAATCGGATGCAAAACAAAATGAAACAAGTCGCAAAATCACCTCAGAGAGACAAATTTGCAGCAACGAGATGCAAAGAGATCAAATTGTGTCACAAAATGGGGGAAAAAAAACAAGAAGGAAACAAAATGACAATAAAAAAAAAGCAAAACTACCAAAACGGAAGGAAAAAAAACACAAAGTGACCACAAACGCAGTCAAATCGACCAGAAACAGACTTGAAATGACCACGAAAACCTTAAAACTGCTGATAAAAGACGCGATCGACCACAAAAAACAAAGAGAAAGGCACTCAGAACGATCAAACTGATGCTAAAACCGCAGCAAAATGAACACAAAGACTCCAGGACGGAGCTTCATGTGTCGCTGAATAACTCATTAAACTCCTGATGAATCGCGTGAACATCAGGCTGCAGTCGTGTGTTTTCATGTCAAACTACAACTTCTGTGTGTTTCTGATTCAAATTTTTGTTAGAAATTGTCCATATTTCCAGGCCTCCACCTGTTTTGATCCTTTCCGTCTCTGGTTTTCTGTTTATTTCTTAATAATAAAGTCACCACAGAGACTCTGAACCTTCCTAAGCATACATTTGTTTAACAGTAGAGCTGCAGCTGATGTTTACTGTCGTCGTTGACTCATTTGTCCTTTTATTTTCTTTATGAATCAAATGTTTGGTCTTAAAATGTCAGAAAACGGTGAAAAATGTGAACCAGAGTTTCCTCAAATGTCTCGTTTTGTCCAAAGATGTTCAATTCAGTGTCACAAAGGAGGAAAGAAACCAGAAAATAGAATCACATTTAGGGAGCTGAAATCACAGAATTAAGAGGTTTTTTTTATTTTAAAAATTATCAAAATAATCATGTTAATATTTTTCAACTACTCGATGAAAAAAGACAAAATATTTTCCAGTTTCAGCGTCTCAGAGAGAAGAGCTGCTGCTTGTCTTTGTAGACTGAATATTTGGACTTTCGTTGGATCAAAACTAAACACATGAAGGCATTTTGGTTGTTTTATCGAGTTATTGATTTTAAAAAATGACTAAAAGAATCGTTTAAAGAGTCTCGTTTTGTTCACAAGCCGAAGATAAAATAGAGCCAGGAGATGTATTTATATTTAAGACGCTACCATCAGAGAATTTAGAGTTAATATTCTTCAGCTACTTGGAAGAAAACACAAAATATTTGCTGCTTTTCTTTTGGTAAACTGAATATTTGGGTTGTTTGGGACTTTTGTTGGATCAAAACTAAACACATGAAGGTGTTTTGGTCGTTTTATTGAGTTATTGATTGAAAAAAATAACGAAAAGAATTGTTCAGAGGTGGCTCAGTGGTTAGCACCGTAGCCTCACAGCTAGAAGGTCGCCGGTTCGTGTCCCGGTGAGGACACCCGGGATCTTCCTGCGTGGAGTCTCCATGTTCTCCCCGTGCAGCGTGGGTTCTCTCCGGGTTCTCCGGCTTCCTCCCACAGTCCAGAAACATGTTGAGGTTAATTGGTGATTGTAAATTGTCCGTAGGTGTGAATGTGAGTGTGCTTGGTTGTCTGTCTCTAAGTGTAGCCCTGTGATAGACTGGTTACCTGTCCAGGTGAACCTGCCTTCACCCTGAGTCCCCCACGATCTAGTGAGGATTAAGGTGTAGAGATGATGGATTGTTGTTGTTTCGATCTAGTGAGGATTAAGGTGTAGAGATGATGGATTGTTGTTGTTTTGTCTTTAGAAGCTCCGATCAGAGTCTTTTCATTAAGCAGTGACTCAAACTGCGACGGGTTTCTGTAGCTCATCGACGGTTTTATGTCGTTTCAGAGATGCTCACGCCTCCGTCCGACTATGACTCCTTCCGCCGGAGATTCTGACCTCCGATGACCTCCAGCGTCGCCTCCTGCTCCGTCGTCATGTCTCCACGGAAACGGCCGCTGGTGCCGGTCAGCAGCCGGCGGAAAGCGGCGGACGACTTCTTCCCGTTCGACCTGCTGCCGGTGGAGTGCCGGCTGCACGTGCTGTCCTTCCTCAACGAGGTGGACAAGTGCAGCTGCGCCCTGGTCTGCCTGAGCTGGAGCTGCCTGGTCCGGTCCTGGAAGCTGTGGCGGGTCGCCGACTACTCCCGCCGCGGCGTCTTCCACCTGGGCCAGGAGGGGCTGCTGGTGTCCAACCGCGAGTTCGAGCGCTGGAAGTCGTGGGTGCACCACTACACCCACCACCTGATCTCGCGGCGGGCCAGCCTGCTGACGCTGAAGGCCAGCTTCGACCTGGGCGACCGCTGCAACCGCTGGGCCGAGCTGCTGCGCCACCTGCTGGACAACGTGCACTGCAGGGACCTCAGCCACCTGGACCTGAACTGGACCTTCACGCTGCTGGAGCCGCTCGACCTGCGGGTCCACTCCAGCTCCAGCTCCCACCAGGACAGCATCACCAAGATGGACCAGGTAATGGTTCTGGTTCTGGATCCGCTTCTAGCCGAAGCCCCAAATGTTCAGATTAGACTGAAGTACGACAAAGAAAAGCAGCAGAGCTTCTCTTCTGAGGCCTTAAAACCAAAAATAGTTGTTCACTTGATTAACAGTTAGGTTGATAATCTTTTTTTTTAAATAAAAAGTCTCTGTCTGACTATTTTCGGGTTTCTTTCCTCCACTGTGAAACTAAACTGAAAATCTTTGGACAAAAACAAGAACTTTGTCGACGTTTTCCTCCATTTTCTGACCAAACAACTAATTGATTAATAAGCGATTTTTCAATTACATTAAATTAATCACAGACTTCAAACAAAAACAACAGCAGACACAAACGATAAAGATCTGACACAAAACATTTTTAAAAATCTCACAAAAATAAGAAAAAATAGAAACAAAACAAGAAAAATTCGACTCAAAATGAGAAAAATCAAAAACAAGATGAGAAAAACGCAACACAAACTTATAAAGACAAGTACAGAACATGAAAAATGTTGAAACAAAACTGCTGGAAGATAAAACAGAATCTTGAGAGATGCGTCGGTTTCATGTAGGTGAGGCGTGTCAGGAAACACGACGCTGAGCTGCATCATGGGAAATGTAGGAACCAGCTGAGCCAGTTTCAGCTTTAGTCCTTCATTAAGTGTTCGTTTGGTTCTTGTGCTGCGTTTCAGTGCAGCTCTGTTTATATCTGGATCAGCACCAGGTCCAAACCCTTCAGGTGGGCTCCTCCTGCTAACCCGCCTCCTGTCTCGGTGGTTCTGCAGGTGACCAGCTTCCAGGAGCTGCTCGGGAAGCTGACCCAGAGCTGCCCCCGGATCTCCAAGATGCGCCTCCACTTCGACTGGTCCGACCTGTCGGTGTCGCTGCTCTCCCAGTTCCAGCAGCTGCGGGTTCTGGAGCTCAAGTACTTCTGGGTGTTCAAGGGCGTCGGGCCGGCCACGCTGCAGACGCTGACGTCGGCGCTGCCCAACCTGCGCTCCCTGACGCTGCACGTCCTGGTGCCGCTGCGCAACCTGGGCATCTCCTACACGCTGGAGTCGCCGTCGCTGGAGTTCCTGGACGTGTCGCCGAGCCGCGGCCTGGTCTTCTCCCGCCTCCAGCTGCCGGCGCTGCGGGAGCTCCGGGCCAAGAAGATCGTCCGCGGCATCACGCTGGACCGGCGGACCCGGCTGCGGATCCAGAGCCGCTGGCCCTGCCTGTACCACGTCCTCCGGGAGGGGACGCCCCGGCTGCAGGCGCTGAACAACGAGAGGCTGCTGCCCACCTGGAGGGAGGAGGTGTACGGGGAGCTGACCTCCATCCTGGACCAGTCCTGCTACTGCGTGCAGCACCTGGACAGCTGGCTCTGGTAGACTCACGGCGCCCCTCATTTCAAACCGACCGGATCGGAGACTCGGAGCGGCCGTTGGAGTCGGAAACGTTCCACGTGTTGACGACGACGTCTTCAGTTTCTCCATGTACGGCGCTCCGACTCCACGGTTCTGTCCTGGATTCACTTCCACAGAAACAAACAGAACAGGTCCGACTCCTGATGACGTGGAAAAGTTCCTCAAAGTCGACTCGCTGAGCTCCGAATCCAGAGTAAAGGCAAAATATTATCAAGAAAAAAGTCACAATGTTCAAATGATTTTAATGGATTCAGCACAAAAACAAAACTGGTTTAATTATTTGGTGAATCGTTTCTGTTCACTCACATTAACATCTTCAAATATCTCAACTAAAGTCTGGAAAGTAGCTTTAGTAATTTTTTTTTTTATATAAATATCAAAACTTTTAAGAATATTTTTAATATCACAGTTTTTTTCTCTAAACATTTCAACATACTTCTTGAACTATCACCGTTTTTAATTCTTAAAAATCTGTAACTGCTTCAGATATTTCAGCTTTATACCTGAAACTCTTGTGTCTGCTCTCTCAGCAGATTTAATGGTATTTTTCTCATAAAGTTTCTTGAAATTAGTTTTTTTTAATTCTAAAAATTTTGCCGCTCAGTTTCCAAAAAATTTACGATTTAGATTTTTTTTTAGATTCTAAAATGTTTTGACTGAATTCTCAGAATATTACGACTTAAATTCTTTAAATATTGTAAAATATTTCTTCGTAAATTCCAGCTTGTTTTAATGCTAAAAATGCTAAAAATACTGCAACATATGAATGATTAATTATTACAACTTAATTCTCTGAATACTTTCCTCTCGACATATTCCAGCTTATGTCTCGTGTTATTATTTATTCTAAAAATGTAGTCGCTAAAAATACAACAAAACATTTCCCATGTTTTATAGTTTATATTAGAAAATATTGTGACGGCATTTTGAGAATATTACAGTCGAGTGTGTTTACAGCTTCTTTTTAGTTTTTAAAATATCGTGACTCAAAACACTACAACTTAATTCCCCAAATATTACTCAAAAAATTGCAAAATATTTCTGAAATTTTACCCTTTTTTTGTTATAAAAATATTGTACCTGCATTCACAAAATATTACAATTCATTATTCTTATTCTTTTTATTATTATTATTATTCTTATCTAAATATTGCTATCTTATCATTTTTTAAAACTTGACTTTTTTCTTAAATATAACGACTAAATCATAAAAATATTGCGACATATTTCCTTTTTTTTTAATTATACAAATATTTTGGCTGTAATCTCAGATTTTTGCAGCTTCATTTCCCAAACTTTACATTTTATTTAATTTTTTAAAAATTGCATCTCTCCTCTCAGAATGTTTTCACTTTAATCATGAAATATTTTGCCTTTATTCTCGGCGTCAGAGTCGACATGTAACCTGAGCTGTTCGTAGCCGTTTCCTCGATCGATCGATCGATCGGAGACGGTCGACTGTTTCTAATCGCGTGTTGATTGTAAATATGAACAGAATCATACAATCACAGTTCAGGACCAAAAGCAGCTGAACTGAAGCTGGACTTTGTGACTCTGATTCGGATCATTCCAGAGCTGGACCACCTTTTGTTTGTTTGTTTGTTTGTTTGTTTGATCTCGAGTGCTGCCTTGAGGCGGATTTCCTGTCCATGTTTGTGTTTGTTCTGAAGCTGACCAGGTTTTTTTAAAGGAAGTCCAGGAACTCTTTGCACATATCTGAAGGTCGTCTGAGACTCGACCACATTCCAGCTGTTTCTCTAAACTTTTATTTCAACCCTCTGAACTCCAAACGCCGTTTTTGTTATTGTTGTTGCTTCTGTTACATTTTTTCTTGCTGTGGCTCGTTTTTCCTGCAGCTCTACAGAAACAGAATAAAGAAGGAGAGAAAAAACTCAGTTAAAAAATGACTATTTACCGTTTGGATTCGTCTCCTCTCTGCTCTGTTGGCACCTCACCTGAATTTCTTCACCTCATTTTTCATCAGGTGTCCGTCAGTCGCGACTCCTCAGTTGCGCCGACGAGTTCAGGATTTTGTTTAGTTCTTCCACAGAATCTGGTTCAAGTAAACAGAATATTTTTGGTTTTGAATGAGACGTTACTTTAACGAAAATTGAGATTTTAGGCGTTTCTGACAGAAGTGGCGTTCATGATTAGTTCGCGGACCATCGGAAAGTTGGAAATCTGACTTATCTGTCTCTGTTTTGCAGTTTGTGGCTCTGACAGACGGTGGGAATGTGCTCAAACCTACACGAGCAAGTGTCAGAGCTCTGACAGTAGCATCACTGTGGGCAAGAAAAAAAACTAAAAAAAAAAAAGAAAGAAAATCCAAAGTTAAGGAAAAAAATCTTGAGAAAAGAAGAATAAAAGGAAGAATTAAAAAAGGGCCACAACATTAGTATTATTTGGATTTTTTTTTTAATTACAAAAAACATCACTGAGGTGAAAGTTTTGTAATTTAAAAAAAAAAAAAGTTTCCACAATTTTAAAGGACATAAATATGACGATTTTTAAGCTCAGGTTTGCTTATTTTTCCTGATACAACTGAACGCCACACCTGATACATTCAAGGACCATCAGAAAGTGGAAACTCTGGTGATTTTTTCTGTTTTTGCAGTTTGAGTCTCTGACAAACGACAGAGTTTTGGTGACTTCGCTTTAACTTGTCGGTGGAGTTCAGAGGGTTCCGCTGATGCAGTTCTCCTCCCGGCCAGCAGAGGCCCTCGTCCCCTCAGACTTGAGTTGACAGCCGGAGGCTTTCAGCTGCTCCTGACTGTAAATATGTTCAGTGTCTTCTGCTGAGTGTGAGGAAGAACTGAGACCTCCAGATGTTCTGACATCTGCTTTTCCACAATAAAATCATGAAGCTTTTGGAGTTTTTCTTGTTGGAACTGAACAGTTTCTGGAGGTCGTCCACAATAACGGATAAATAACATGATGGGTACATTTAAAAAAAATAATCAGATCATATTTTGCGAGAAAACTTGCAAATGTCTCCAGAAAAAAGTCACAAAGTTTTGACAATAGATGTAGCATTGATTAAACAAGTCGCACGCTGTAAAATAAAATAAAATAAAATAATAACTTTTAAAAAAGAATCTGTTTATAGAGTAGAACAGTGTAACATCAAAAACTGAGAAAATGGCAGCAAATGTCTGTAAAATTATAATAGTTCAGCTGATTTAAAGACAGCAAACATGGATTTTATAGCAGAAAACAAGCTATTGGTAAAAAGATGATACCAGGTGATTATTTACAGCTTTGGCCTGTTTCTTTGTTTTTCTTCTTTTTTTTAATGTTTTTTTATTTTTACAAGTATTGTGTTATTTTTTTCTTTTAATTAAAAACAACTATCTGTAAAGTGATTTTAACTTTTTTTTTTTTTTAATTTATATCTGATTTAATTCCAGTAAAAAATAAAATAAAAAATAAATTAAAAGTGTAATTTTATGGTCACACGTGGTTAAAAACAAATGACTATTTATTTAAATTTAAAAAAAGATAATTTATATAAAAACTGTTTACATAAATGTAAGACTTTTTTTTTTTTTAATGATTTTATTAGATGCTGTAAAATCAGTTTACCTTTGTCATGACAGCGCCACAACATGATCATCTCTGTGAGCTGAGATAAGATTAGAAACTTTATTGATGCTCAGCTGGGAAATGATTTGATGTCATTAACAGCAAACAAGTTCCTGAAATATTCCCCCAACATATCTCTATATATTGATATATTTATATATTGATATATATGTTTGTGTACATTTTGAATGAATGTCCAAAGTAATGTGGGTTTAAGGTTCGTGGAGCTTCTGAGTGAGCAGCAGAGTGTTTAACGTCCAGAAGCGGGTCTCCTGAGGAAGAACCAGCTCTGGTCCCGGTTCTCTCCTCCTCCTCTGTCCTTCCTCCCTCTGAGCTGCTCGGTGCTGCAGAAGCTCCTTCATCTGGAGGTTCTGACCCGGTGTCTCCTGAGGCTCATCCAGCCTGTGCACCGGTGGGCAGGTCCAGGTGTGGCCCATCTTTATGGTCTCCTGCTCTTTGCTCCTCACAGTTAATGTTTAACCTTCAGTCGGTGCAGCTCAACCAGGTCCTGACCACAGACCAGTTCGGCTCCACTTCAGCTCCAGTTCGGCTCCAGTCCGGCTCCAGCACCAACATGCCCTCCAAGTCCGGCATGTCCAAGGCGTTCGCCGTCGCCTTCGTGGTTCTGACGGTGTCGGTGATCGCCGGCACCGTCACCATGTTCATCCTGTACGAGATCCAGATGCACGGGGTCAACGCCACCGCCCAGCCCACCTTCCCGGCCACCACCGAGCCGCCGCCGCCGGTGCTGCGGCTCGGAAAGAGCGTGGTCCCGGTGCGCTACAGCCTGTCGCTCAGGGTCGGGCTCTACACCCGCATCATCCAGGAGGTGAACGTGACGAGCCCGAACCAGACGCTGTCCTTCTCCGGGAACTCCACGGTCCACTTCCGCTGCGCCCAGAGGACCAACAGCATCTTCCTGCACGGCCTGGACCTGCTGGTGTCCGACCCGCAGGTCAAACACACGGACACCGGGAGGACGGTCGGGTCGTCGCTGAAGAAGCCCGACAAGAAGAGCCGCTTCCTGGAGGTGGGTCTGAAGGACTTCATGGAGGTCGGAGAGCACTACAGCCTGACTCTGTCCTTCGAAGGAGAACTATCGGAGAACCTGGAGGCGCTTTATGTGAGCCAGTACAGAGAAGAAGACCTGGAGTACGAGGAGTACACTGATGGAGACAGGTGGGTGGAAAAGCAGCAGCCATGAATGAAGATGTGTCAGAAGTCCTCTGGAGGGAGTTAACATATTTAAAGTTTATTTTCATAAAGATTAAAAGTATAGAACCCTTAAAAAACGATCTAGTGTGTTTAATAAAGAAATATGTCATCCTTCAAAAGATCTGAGGTTTGTTTTAATCTTTGAAAATGATCTAAAGTTTGTTTTAATAAAGACTGAAAATGTAGAATCCTTAAAAATGACCGGAAGTTAGTTTTAATAAAGACGGACATATGTACTCCTTAAATGTTATCTCAGGTTAGCTTGAGTCCTGAAACAAATTATATAAAGTTTCTTTTAAAAAAGAGAAAATATATAATCCTTTAAAAAATGATTTAAAGTTTGTTTTTATATAGACTGAAATAAATAATCCCAGGATTGAGCTGAGGTTTCTTCTTTAAAATAAAAAATTATAAATTCTAAAAAAGAAAAAAAAATCTTAAGTTTTAAAAAAAAAAAAAAAAAGATTAAAAAAAAAATCCTAAAAACACACTTTTAAGATTCTTTTCTTTATAGACCAAAAAAATATAATTCTATAAACAATGCTCTTAAGTTTTGTTTTTTTAAAGAAAAAATATAAATCCTAAAAAAGGCTTTAAAAACATCAGAAAATACATTATTAGATATATATGTAAGTATATTATTTTTCTAAAATAAAAAATATAATCCTAAAAATGCATTTCATTGTTTCAATATATTAAAATAATCAAACCTTAAAAGTTGCTTTTCAGTTCCTGAGTTTGACTTAATGTATTTAATAATCTGATTCCTGGTTTTTATTTGTAGAAATTCAAGATCTAAAAACTATTTCAGAACTTTCACACTTTATTATTTTATATATTTAATATACATAAATGTCAATATGAAAATATATATATATATACATAAAATATTCCAACTTAATCTTTTAAATATGCGTAAACCTACAAAAACATGTTTTGTTGCTTTGTTTGTGACCAACAGAGGAAATAAAAATATCACAAAAAGAAACACAACTTTTTCTAAACGACAGCAGTTCATCTATGCTAAAAAAAAATAAAAAAAAGAAAAAACTTTATTAAAAATCTTGTTTTTACGCAGTCGCAGTTTCCTGAATTTTCTTTGAAAATTTTGAACAGAAAAACTTTTATGAAAAAGGTGCGATTAACCTCGTCTCCTTCTCACAGTTTCTCCTCCACATGAACAACTCATACATAGAAATGTGGGTATTTTTGTTCTCTTCCATCCACTGTGAGTCTCATCGCTGTAGGACTGATGGTTTTTCCATAAATCACTTCAGAGCTCAGAGAGTGTCGACCAAAACTCTCACTGACTCCCATCATGTCTGAGCTCTGAGATGTTGGTGAAAACCAGAAACGGAGGGTGTGTTGAACCTGCCACCAAATCCGTAAAAAACTCAGCATGAACATGAAAATACATCAAAATGTTCACAATGAGTTTGTGCTTCACACGCTGAAAGAATTTCTTCAATAGGACTTCTAGTTTCTGAGCTGTGACGGTTTGTTCGAGGCTCTAATCCTCAGTCTGCTCTGCTCACTGCAGCAGCCAGAGACTCACAGCTGATTGGCTGATTGATGCACTTTCAAAGTAAAAGCTCAAAGATGTTCAAAGGAACTGATAATAAAATATGATTTTCAAATTTAAATGTACTTATACAATTTATACCTTGTGTATAATTACAGCAGGACGTTTTCCGGCTCGTATTGATCGTCCTCGTTGTTTCCTTCGCTCACCTGATAACAACGTTTGCGTGTTCTCAGGTTCCTTGCTGCCACTTATCTGGAGCCGACGGGCGCTCGGAAGATGTTTCCTTGTTTCGACGAGCCTGAGATGAAAGCTGAGTTTGATGTCAAAATCATCCACAGACGAGACACCACGGCTCTGTCCAACACCAAAGAGCAAGGTAGGAAAACAAACCAACAAACAGAAAACAAGCCAAACATTAACCCGAATGAAAGAAATCCTCACTTCCTGCTGTTTCTCTCAGAGACTGGTATTGTAGATGAAGAATGGAAATTCACTACTTTTCAAAGAACGCCGAAGATGTCCACGTACCTGCTCGCCTTCACCGTGTCCGAGTTCAGGTCGGTCAGGTCGCCTGTCACTGACGAGCGCGTCGAGATACAGGTAGGTCCACATGTATAGACTTATAGATTCAACGGACGTGGCTCGGGTTCTGTCCCAAAACGAACTTCTGTCAGATATTTTCGATGAATTTTGAGAATTTAATGTTGCCAGACGTGGAAATTGTTATAAAAAACACCTGTGAAGCTATTTTGAAGGTTCAGTGTCTCCAGAAATAAGACTCCAACAGTCATGACATGTGGTGAGGACTCAGACAGGATAGTTTATATCAGATCAGGATGATTGAATGGATCCAGCAGAGGACACAGTTTGAATTATTGGTGCTTGAAAATGGGGGGGGGGGGGTTGCAAAATATTCAATAATGGATAATTGTTGGTCCTTTAAAATGGAAGAAAGTATAAAATCTTCCAACCCAGGCTGGTGTTGATGCCAGAAAGTTCCTGTCAGTGTCTATCTATGGATGGATCCATGTTTCTACTAAAATACAAGCTTGCATGTTTTGCAGACGTTTGCTCGTCCTGAAGCTATAGCAGCAGGTCACACCGCCTACGCGTCCGAAATCACCAGAAAGATCCTCGAGTTCTACGAGAGGCGCTTTCAGATCGAATATGAGCTGAACAAACTTGGTAAGACTCCCTGGATGAATCTGACGTCTTGCAGCATCCAGACGTTATGTGGAGACTTCACTGAACTAGTATCGTCCTACCAGTTCTTGGAGATCCATGTGGATGATTGGCTCTCTGTCAGGTGCCATTCCTAGGCTAACAACTATCATTGCTACGCTAACAACTAGCACCCCTGCACTAATAACTAACATCCCTAGACTTACAACTAGCATTACTACGGTAGAAACTACCATCTTTAGACTGACAACTAGCATCCCCAAGTTAACAAATAGCATCCCTAGACTAACAACTAGCATTCCTAAGCTAACAAATAGCATTCCTAAGCTAAAAACTAGCATTGCGAGCTTTACAACTACCATTCCTAGGCTAACAACTAGCACCCCTACACTAATAACTGACATCCCTAGACTTACAACTAGCACCCCTACACTAATAACTGACATCCCTAGACTTACAACTAGCATTACTAGGGTAGAAACTGGCATCTTTAGACTGACAACTAACATCCCCAAGTTAACAAATAGCATCCCTAGACAAATAATTAGCATCCCTAGACTAACAACTAACATTCCTAAGCTAACAAATAGCATCCCTAGACTAACAACTAGCATTAATAGGCAAGAAACAACCATCTTTGAAGTGACAACTAAGCTAACAACTAGCAATGCGAAGTTCACAACTGCCATTCCTAGGCTAACAGTGGACATCCATACACTAATAACTAACATCCCTCGTGTAGCAACTGACACCCCAAGGCTAACAATAAACATCTCGAAGCTAACAACCACAGTCTGTAGCCGAATGACTAGCATCCTGAGGTTAAAAACTACCATTCGTAGGCTAACAACTAGCATCCCTAGACTAATAATTAGCATCCCTTGACGAACAACTAGCATTCCTAATCTAACAAATAGCATCCCTAAATGAACAACTAGCATTAATAGACAAGAAACTACCATCTCTAGAGTGACAACTAGCATTCCTAAGCTAACGACTAGCATTCCGAAGTTCACAACTGCCATTCCTAGGCTAATAACTAACATCCCTACACTAATAACTAACATCCCTCATGCAGCAACTGGCACCCCTAGGCTAACAATAAACATCCCGAAACTAACAACTACCTTCTGAAGACTAATGACTAGCATCCTGAGGTTAAAAACTACCATTCGTAGGCTAACAACTAGCATCCCTAGACTTATAACTAGCATCCCTTGGGTAGCAACTGGTACCCCTAGGCTTACAACAAAAATCCCTAAGTTAACAGCTAGATTCCATAGACTAACGGCTAACATCCGAAGCCAACAACTAGCCCAGGATTTCCTCTGAACTTGGTTCTCCTGTTTTGCCTCCTGGTTCTGGTTTAACCTTTAGGAAACCCAACAGCTCCGTGATTTTGTTTCCTTGTTAGAGGAATGTTGGCTGTTGTCACAAATGGTTTTATAGTCTTTTTTGTGCCCAATAAACCTTGAATCTCTTGAATCTTTTGTGACTTTATGACTTTGAGGCTCCCCCCTAAAAACATGACTTTTATCTCACAGGACAACTTAAATATGTATCTAGCATTGAGAATTTACTCCTTTTAACGTAAATTGTACATTTTATTATCAAAATGCTGCTTTAATTATGTCACACAAGTAGCACACAGGAGGGAGGTTTTCATTGTTCGGCATGTGTTTTAATTTGTGCTGCTGCTGCCTGAGCAAACCATGTAGACCATGTAGAGCTCATGGTTCGTTGGTATGTGTGTGTTTGGTTCAGACCAAATTGCGCTGCCGGACTTGGACCCGGCAGCAATGGAGAACTGGGGTCTGGTCACCTATCAGGAAGGTCACCTGCTGTACGAAGAGGGTGTGTCGTCGATGCTGCACAAGGAAGTGATTGCCGTCATGATCGCACACGAACTGGCTCACCAGGTCAGATCACAAACACCCAAACTCTACACTTTATAGGTTTATGGATCAAATGCATGACTGCCAGGAAACTCACTGCACGTATCTAATAAGAAACGAGCTAATAAATGACTAAAATATGGATTTAGAGGCGCAAATAAAGAACATTTACAGGTCAGTCACAATGCGGTGCAACAATCAAACACAGTTTATGCACCGACTGGGGATGGTGTCCACCAGATCAGAATGAGTTAATGGATCCAGCAGAGGACACATTTAAAATTATTGGTCCTTGAAAATGGAAAAAAAAATGCAGCATTTCCAATCTAGGATGGTATTGCGTCTGCAGAAAGGTCCTGTCTATCTATGGATGGATCCATGGTTCTACTAGAATCCAGTCTTTGGTCACATTTCTCTAACATCAGTAGAACCTGATGTGGTGAAGTTGGACCAGACAAGGTTCCAGGTTTTAGATTTTTAGACTTGAAACCAACTTAAAATAACACAAATTTGTCCAAAATCCAACAAAACGTGTCCAAAAAGTTCCTATAAGTGTATACAAATATATATATATAGATGGATGGATCCATGTTTCTGCTAAAATGCAGTCTTTGTTCGACATTTCACCATCTGTTGAGGCTCTAACGTCATTAGAACCTGATGTGTTCTCTAAATGACGCCAAATTATCCAAAAGTGACACAAAAATGTCCTTAATTGTCCAAAAATTGATGGAAAATGATCCAAAATTAGTCCAAAACTGACATAACATTGTCCTAAAGAACTTAAGGTTGTTCAAAATGACTAAAGATTGGCCCAAAACTACTCCAAATTGTCCAAATAAACAACAGTGAATCATTGGCCACGGAAAATGGAAAAAAGTGAGAAATGTCCGAACAAGACTGGTACTGATCCCCAGAAAGTTCCTGTCAGTGTCTATCTATGAATGGATCCATGGTTCCACTAGAATCCAGTCTTTGGTCACATTTCACCAACTGTTGAGGCTCTAACAGTAGAATCTAACGTGATAAAGTTTTACCAGACAAGGTTCCAGGTTTTAGATATTTTGACAAGACAATGTGAGTCCATTTGAACAAGTTTTTGGTCATTTTGAACACTTTTGGACAACCCTCAAACCCCTGGGGCCTTTAAAGTGGCTTTCCACGCAAGATGTTTTTTTTATTGGGAAAACCCAAAATGATGACGTCTTCTGCTTTATGTGACAGTGGTTTGGAAATCTGGTGACGATGAAATGGTGGAACAACATCTGGCTGAACGAAGGCTTCGCCACCTACATGTCCTACTTTGCGGTGGACGACGTCGAGCCGTCATTCAAAATGGTGAGTTCAAATTTACACACCATCTTTGTTTATTGGATTCGTTGCTCGGTCTATAAAAAAATGTCATAAAACTGTGGAAATGTGGATGAGAGGTCATCAGATATCTTGTTTACATTCAGTTTACAGTCACAGACGAGGAAAGAAGCCAGAAAATATTCACATTTTACACGCGAGGATCAGACCGCAGAGTTTCACAACAAGAAATCAGTTCTGTGGTAAATGAGACGAAGACCGATGAAACAAACTTAAAACCAGAAAACAGTCACATTTAACAGGCTTGACTCAGAGGATTTAGATTTTTTTTTCTCAAAGAGTTTCTCCAACTGATAAATCAATGAGAAAGCAAAATAGTTGGCGGTTAATTCAATAGTTGAATATCTGATGCGTCATTGCAGCTCTGGTCCTGCCCTTTTCATGTAAAAATCCACATTAGAGCAAAATGTGATGTGTTGACACGTCCCTTCTGTGTTTCCTCAGACAGAAGTCTTCATCATGGACGACCTCCATGAAGCGTTTGAGGAAGACGCTCTGGCTTCGTCTCATCCTCTCATTCTGGCTGAGCAAGACGTCGAGACACCCGATGCGATCAGTGGATTGTTTGACGCTATAACCTACAGCAAAGTAAGAGTCAACACAACGAACACACAACACAACTCAGGAGCACGAGCTCACAGTCATGGACAGACTGGGTTTTGCATTTCACATATGTATATTTTTTATGTTTCTGTTGTAGCTGCACATATGCAGTCATGTGGAAAAATAAGTAAGGCTACAAACTAGCATCCCAAGGCTAACATCTCGCTTGTCTAGACATGAGATTACAATCCTGGGCTAGCAACTACCATTTTTTCGCTAACAACTAGTATTCTTAGGCTAGAACTAAAACCCTTACACAAGTTACTAGCACCTATAGACTAACAACTAGTACCCCCCATGCTAACAACTATCATGTTTAGGCAACAAACTAGCATCCCAAGACAAGTGACTACAATCCCTTGGCAAGCAAACAAGCATCCCTGGACTAACAACTAGTATCTCTGGGCAAGCACCTACAATTCCCAGGCTAACACCTACCATCCCATGGGCAAAAATCTCTATGCTAACAGATAGCATCCCTATGCTAACAGCGAGCATCCTGTTGCTCACAGCTACCATCACCAGATTATCAACTAGCATCCCTAGGCCAACAACTAGCATCCCAAGGCTAACAACTAGCTTGTCTAGGCATGCGAGTACAATCCTAGCCTAGCAACTACCATTCTTAGGCTAAAACTAAAACCCTTAGACAAGTAACTAGCACCCACAGCTTAACAACTAGTACCCCTATGCTAACAACTAGCATGCTTAGGCAACGAGCTAGCAGACAATCGACTACAATCCCTAGGCTAACACCTAGCATTGCTAGGCAAGAAACTACCATCTTTAGGGTAACAAGTAGCATTCCTAAGCTAATGACTAGAATCCCAAGGTTAACAGCTACTATTCCTAGGCTAACAGCTAGCATCCCTCGACTAATAACCAGCATCCCTTTGCTCACAACTATCATCACCAGATTATCAGCTAGCATCCTTTCAGTGTTTTACCGCCTCCTGGTGACTTGAACAAAACCACAAAGAGATTTTTCAATGGATTCATCATTGTAAATAACAACAGCTGTAATGTTCGGCGGTGTGAAGCGTGACTCCACCCTCAGTCCGGGAGCTCATGTCGCCTCCTTTAGCAGAAATGACTTCTTGTAAATGTTTTGAATGACTGTTTGCTGTGTCTGACATAAACTTGGTGGATTTTTTTGACCATTTTTTTTCCCGCAAAACACCTCCAGCTTCGGGATGTTTCAGAATTTTCTTGTCCTGCTCAACATTTCAGTGGGATTCAAATCTGGGATAATTTCATAACCCTGCATTTCTTCCTGCTGAGTCACTCCCTGGTGGATTTACTAACTTTCACACAGATTCAGGCCTCTCATTATCGTCCAGCGCTCCGCGATATGATGCGGAACTCCTGGTTGAACCGATGGAAGCAGCAGATCGACCTCAAACCACCAGCTTCTCCTCCTGAGCGGCAGCCAAACAGCATCTTTGATCCGTCGGTCCAGAGAAAACTATTCCTAAAGGCCTCATGTTTCTCCGTGTGTTCGTTGCAAACTGGATTTTGGCTCCAGCATTCTTTTTGGGCACAAAAAACTTTTTTTCCTCCCATGCAGGTTGAATTTTTTGAATTTCAGGTTGCGAAAGATGCACTGTGACTCCAGCAGCTGTAGATCTACCTGCAGATCCTGCGATTCCATTTTTGCTTTGGGAGATTTCTTTTTGCGTCAGTCAGACTTAAGGGAAGTCTTTGGAGCTTAGCGTGACAGCACCACACGCTCAGTATCAGAGGTTTAAATAAGTCGGGTTCCGCCTCTCGCTCTCTACAGAGTTTTGAGTTTATACATTTAAGTTCTCCAAAAGTCTCATCCAGAATCGAAACATAAAGAATTGCCATGGGATCAACTTGTTTTCTCCGCTAGCATTAACGTGCAATTTGCTTTTTCTCTGCAGGGGGCGCTGCTGCTGAGGATGCTGGCAGACATTGTGGGAGAATCAACTTTCAACGAAGGGATCAATGTGAGTTTTTAACCTCATTCAGAGGCTGAACCGTGCAGAAATCCTGCAGACATCAAGTTTAACCTCAGAAACTCTGGATGATTGACTTAATTATCTGTTAAAGTCAGGACAGAACAAGTACAACAACCTGGAAAAGTTTTTTTTTTACATAATTTCATGGATCAAAAATGATCCAAAAGAGACACAAAACAACCACAATTAGACATGAAACAGCTGTAAAGAGACGCCAAGTGAGTACAAAAGGAAATACTAGACACAAAATAACCACAAGTTGACACAGAGGAAGTGTACAAAGACATAAACGAATGCAAACAGATGTAAAATGACCACAAAAAGACAAAACAAGTGTAAAGAGACATCAAACAATTGCAAAAAAAAAAAGATGCTAAACGACCACAGAGAGGAAGCACCGTCAAAAAAAAGAAGATGAAATTAAAAAGATTTAAAATGAAAACAAAGAGACATAAAACCAGTTCAGAATCCTGGCCGAGCATCTTTTTGTGAGAAAATGCTTCCACGTCGATCATTTCATGACTCTCCGGACAGCAGGTTTTCCAACATGGGTGGAGAGGAAAAGTGAAGTTCTCTAATTTGATGCTTTAATTGGCAGTAGGAGGAAATAAATATAAAATGCTGCTTTTAATATCCCTGGTTTTGGTTTTGCAAAACCCAAATCTTACCAAGGGCAAGAAAAAGGGACGATTAGTGAAGATTCCTCGAGTATTACAGACGGGAAAAGGAATTAAATGGTATGATAACGTGAGAAAGTCCTGAGAAAAGTGACTCTACATGAAAAGAACTCTTTGTTTTGTTGCATGTCCTCAGAACTCATCCAGCTCACTGCTACTTCACTGATAATCATATGAATGCGGTACTGAAACATGTGCATCATCCTGACGATAGAGACAGATTCCAGCCAAACGTGTATTTCGACACCGCGTCTCCCGAGTTGTGTTTGGATTTTTATCATCCAGCTGCTGGATGCAGAAGTTCCTCCTGAGAATAGTGAAGTCGAACGTGGGCTGAAACTGTGAAGCTTCTCCGTGTGTTTCAGAGATACCTCAAGGACTTCAGGTTCGGAAACACCGACCAGAACGACCTGTGGGACTCCATAGAAAGGGTAAGATCCTGGAAGATCCTGGGGGAGCCTCTGAAGAAACCACATCACTACACATGTGCTATTAATTGTAATAATTCTGATAAGACTGATGTCATTTATCTTGAATTGAAGCAGCTTTGCATCATTATAAAGAGAACAGTGTGGACAATAACACCCTCCCAACTCAGTAGTTCTGAAGGCATTCCAGTCACGCTGAACATTTCCAACAGCCTTGACTCTCCAGGACTAAATATTGACCGACTTGTTCACCGTTGGCAGGGGAGGCACTTCAAATTCGGCCAGTCTGTTGAAAATCTGATGGCGCCGTGGACCAAACAGGCTGGTTATCCGGTCATCACCATCGACACCACCAATGGAGAAATCTACCAGAAACGCTTCCTGTTCAGCGACACTGCTGAGTCCAGGTACACAAAACCATATCACTTCCCGTACAGTCGGCTTTATTCTGTCTTTAATTTCTCTGAAAGGTTATTATGGATGAACCTCAACACTAATAGAAAGGAAGACGTCTGTGGTTTGGGGTTTTATTACAGTCATATGATGCAAAAAAAAGTTTTTCTTTCACCTCCACAGACAGGATTCACCTTGACAAAATATGACTTCTCAAAAAGTGACTAGAATCTCTAGGCTAATAACTAGCATCCCTAGGCTAAAAACTAGCATCCTTTGGTAAAAACTAGCATCCCTAGGCAAGGGACGAAGAATCCTTCAGCTTAAAACCAGTATCCATAAGCTAACAGGTAGCATCTCTAGAGAGACGACTACATTTTCTAGACAAACAGCTAGCATTCTAAAGCTAGTAAATAGAATCCATACGCGAATAACAAGCATCTCAGAGCTAGTAATTAGCATCGATACACTAACAAGCATCCCAGAGCAAGTAAATAGAATCCATACACCGACAATAAGCATCCCGAGGCTAACAGCTGGCAATAGTAGGTACCATCTAGTATCCTTAGGCTATAAACTAGCATCCCTAGGTAAAAACTACCATCCCTAGGCAAAGGACCAAGAATCCCTTGGCTTAAAACTAGTATTCATAAGCTAACAAGTAGCATCCCAAAGCTAACAACTAGCATCCCTTGACAAATGGCTAAATTCTCTAGGCTAACAGCTGGCAATAATAGGTAACACCTAGCATCCCTAGAAAAGCGACCAGAGTCCCAAAGCTCACAGCATCCCTGGACAAACGACTAAACTCTCTAGATGAACTGCTAGCATCCCTCGGTAACAACTAACATTTCAAGGCTAGTAACTAGAATCCATATGCTGACAACAAGCATCCCTACAATCCCTAACAACTAACACCTTTATGCTAGTGGCTATAATCTGTATAATCTGTAGGCTAGCAACTAGTAGGCCAAGGCTACTAACTAACTAACTAGCATCCTTTACGCTAGCTATTTATGCTTGCAAAGGCGATGAAGGAGCATGTAAGTGCATGTTATTAATATGTCTGATATGAGTTGAAAACAAGCTGAAACTTAACGTCAGTGTTGTGTCAGTGTGCTAATGCTGCTGTTTTTACTGTTTGTTCTGTTCTACTCCAATGTTTGCTAACTCTTAATCCAGCTTCTGAGGTATTGTGACACTGGTCCAGATGATTGTGGTGTGATGTAGCGTAATACCTCACTGACAGCATCAGCCATATTAAACATAGCTGAGAGATTTACGAAGCTTCTCCGTCTGGCTGTATGAACTCGTCCTCAGCTGACTCCTGCAGAGAAAAATCACCTCCACAGAATCAAACTACTGTTGCTTCAGCTGCCAGAAGGAAGTGATCCTGAGAGCTGTTAGCTGATTGTTTCCTGCCAGCAGATGAACTCATCCAGCTGATCGTACCGCTGGCCTTACAGTGTTTTCAGCACTGTTTTGTAACTACGTGACTTTTTCATGGTTGAGTTTCACAATAATTTAACCCACTGTGGCCTGGCTTCGTGATGCTTCGGCCACATCAGGACCACAGCAGCAACTCTGCAGATCAATATTCACTGCACCTTTACACACAATAGAAATACTTTATTGATCCTAAAGGTGGAAGTTATGGTGTTAAAATGGCGGCAGAAAGAGAAAGATGTATAATAGAAATACGAATAAATTTGAAAAATGCACTGTAAAGCGTCAAACGCTAACAATAAAAATGTACAGTCAGTCCTGTGGACAGCAGTGCAATGTGTGTAAGTAATGCAGCAAGTGCAGCAGAAAAACAGCACAACTGCAAAAATAGCAACGATGTTAGAAAGCAGAGATGCCGAGAGCTTCCTACCAGCTGAGGAGTTCAACTGCTGTTGCCACGAAAGATATCCTGAATCTGTCCTTGTGGCTTTCTCATGTTTGATTAAAAATGCTTCGGAGCGATGATGAGCCTCCCGATAACATCAGACCAAGTCCTAATAACACTCTGCTCTGTGTGTTCAGTTTGGTGTGGCACATCCCCATCAGGTTCATGTCCCAACACATGTCAGAATCTGAGCTGGTGTGGCTGACTGAGTCAGGACCAGGTAAACACACACACACACACACACACACACACACACACACACACACACACACACACACAAACACAGTTTACCAGTGAAAGGGATGTCAAAGTACCAAAAACCAACCTCGGGGACGCACAAAACTGTAAAAAGACACCAAGTGACTTCAAAGAGACACAAAAGCACGATAAACATATGTAATATGACCATAAATAAATACCATAAATAGACATACAACGACTGTAAATGACTGCAAAAAGATGTACAATGACCATAAAGAGACCCAGAACGACTAATAATAGATGCAAGATGACTATAAACAGATGCGAGATGACCCAAAGTGACCACAAAGAGACAAAAAACAAGTAAAGAGAGATTTAAAACAACCACAAAAGAGACATTTCAACATCGAGGAGACACAAAATGACTAAACACAGTGAATCTTCCTTCTGTTGTTCTGGTGTCTTTTACATCCTCATGTCCAAAGTCTCTACAGGCATCGACGCCAGTTCATTTCGTCTCTGTGCTAGCTTTTCATTTTTCTTTGTACTTTTCCACTGACCTGTGGTTCGCAGTGAGTTTAGCGAAGCAGACTTTGAGCCGATGTTTGTGTTTGGAACAGTGAGAAAAGAAGAATTCATTTCGAAGGACAGTGAGTGGATCTTGGCAAACGTCAACTCTTTCGGATACTACAGAGTCAACTACAACTTGGAGAACTGGCAGCGCCTCCTGCATCAGCTGGAGACGAAGCCACACGTGAGTTGTTCGGCCAAAAACTGACTTCACACCGACCTCCTGTGAGATCTAATCTGCTTCTCACCAGAAACACTCCAGCAGGTTGTTTTTGTGAAAGCTCCTGCTTCCAGAACGGGCTGCACAGGGAGGAATACCATGAGCTCTGGTTAAAGTTATATGCTTTCAGCTAGCATTCCTAGGCTAGTGACTAGAATCCCTAAACAAGTCTAGAATCCAGAGGCTAACAACTAGCATCCCTAGACTAACGATTAGCATCCTTAAAGAAATTATCAGAGTT